TGGCTCCCAAGACAGCCCACACGGAGCCCCAAGACACCCCCATGAAAACACACTCGCGCTTAGAGGCCCCCCTAAGACGGCCCAGAACAGTTACATGACGAACGCAAAAGACTTCGACCGTGACGGAGATGATGATGACAATACTGATCATGATTGTGTTCGTTATGATTGTGGCGATGATGATGGTGATGATGCTGATCATGATGATAATGATGGTGATGTTTATCATCATGATGATGATGATAATGATGATGATGATGATGCTGATGATGATGATGATGGTGATGATGATGACGATAATGATGATGATGATGATGATGATGATGATGATGATGATGATGATGATGATGATAATGATGGTAATGCATAGAATTGTGATGATGATCAGGGTTCTCAGCATGATGGTGATGATGATAATGATGATGATGATGATGATGATGATGATGATGATGCTGATGATGATAATGATGGTGATGATGATGATGATGATGATGCTGATACTGGTGATAATGATGGCGTAGATGCCCGCCAGCCCCCATTTCACGTGTTCCGGTAACGTTCCCTTTGAGCACGTAAATTTACGATGATGTTGGCGATGCCGATGACGATGACGAGTCTGAGGATGAAGATCATGATGACGACGGCGTTCATGAAGATGATGAACACAACGATGATTAGACGATGATGACGATCTTGATAATGCTGAGCATGCAGCATGCACCAAGGGCGCCCTGGAGGGCGCGAAGTTATTCGCGCTTCGCGGTTCGGCTCCGATTCCTCATCCTCCTTTTCTCCCCTGGGAGGTGGCGCGAGAGCGCGAAGTTATTTGCACTTCGCGCTTCGCGCAGTGCGAAGCGCGAAGTTGGGAGCCCTTGATGCACATGATGACCACGCCTTTTCGGAGCACATTCAATCACGATGATGACGATGGCGATGACGATGGCGATAATGATGATGATGATGCTGATGCTGATGATGATGCCCGATGATGATGACGATGACGATGATGATGTTGATGTTGATGTTGATGTTGATGTTGATGTTGATTATGTGAATAATGGTGATGATGATAATGATGATTGTGAGGATGTTGAGGGTGGGGATGTCCGCCAAACCACATGTCACGTGTTCTGGAAACGGTTTCGGGAGCACGTAACCTTACGAGGACGGTGACGATGGCGATGACGATGACGATAACGAGGGGGAAGTTGAGGATGATGCTGACGACGGCTATCATGAAGGTGATGAAACAGATACTGGCTACAAGATGATGATGGCGTCCTTGGTGATGCTGATGATGCACATGAGGTTCTTGATTAGAACGATGAGGATGACAATGCTGATGACGCTTGTTGCCTCGATCTGCACATGTGGTTCTTATCCTGAATGCCAGCGTGTCCGCCTGCCGTGACCAGCCCGACGTGAGTACCCGCGTCTGCGGCGTGAGTCGCCTCTCCTCCTCCCTCTGTTGCTTCCTTTTTTCTTCCTTCCTCCTCTTTCGCCCGCGTGGGTCCCCAGAGCGAGTGAATTGGACATCGTCCGATATGTCTGCGCACTCGCGAGCTGCCTTTCTGCCCGGGAGATGCTGGCCCATCTTCGGCGCGGTATCTCGTTTGTTTCTGCTCTTTTCCCTTCCCGTTCCTCCGCCCTCGCTTTCCTCCTCCTCCTCCGCCCTTCCCACCGGGTCGTTCTTCGGAGCGCCCAAAGCTGCGCATCTGTGCGCCTTGTCCGCACCGGCGCTGCGCGGCGCGGCCCGCGGTCTGTTTAGGATTCTGCCGCTATCCCTCGCGACGTTCGGGTCAGGGGCACGTGGCCCGCGGGCGCGCTGGGGTTCGACGCGCGCTTCGCCTCGAGCTCCGAGGAAAAGGAAAGCGAACAAAATCTTCTTGCATCGGTCACTTTTCCTCCTTCTTCCCCCGCCCCCACTCCCCCTTTCCCTTCCGCACCCGCTCCCCCCTCTTTGCCGGCGCCGCGGCGCCGTCGTCGACGTGGTCGTCGTCGTCGTTGTCGTCGTCTCTTGCTCCGCGATCCTGCTTGTTTGGTTTGTTGTTTTGGAAAGGTCCGCGGCGGCCGCCTTGTTCAAAATGGCTCAGAGAGGCCCCCCTAAGCCAAATGACGACCCAAGACGCCCAGGAAAATCTCCGAAAAGCTTAGGGCGCTTCGAAGGCGCCCAGAGAGCTTCCCCGCAACCTTCCCGACATCTCTACAAGACGGCCGAAAGGGCCCCGAGACAACCCAAAAAGGCCCCGCGACTGCCCAAGAGGGCCCCGCGGGGCCCCCAAGACAGCTCCCGCGTGGCCCCAAGACGCCACCAAGAAAACCCAGTCACGCCCGGAGCCTTCCATGACGGCCCACAACAGTTCCATGAGGGACGGCAAGGATTTCGACCATGATGGCGATGACGATGACGATGATGATTATTCTGAGCATGGTGATCATAATGAAGATGATGACGACGGTGATAATGGTGATGCTGATGATGGACAGGGTGATGGACAGGATGATGGACATGCCCGCCAGCCCCCATTTCACGTGCTCCAGAAACTCCTGTTCATGATCACGTAAACGGACGATGACGATGACGAGTACGATGATGATGACGTTGATGACGGTGGCAATCATGGAAAATGATGAACATAACGATGACTGGAAGATGATGATGGTGATCATGGTGATGTTTATAATTCCCATGAGGACCACGCTCTGTTCTGAGCGATTACCATCACGATGCTGATGACGGTTGCAATGGCGATGATTATGATGATAATGATGACGATGATGATTCTGCCAATGGTGGTGATGACGATGATGGTGATGATGGAGATGCCCGCCAACCCCCAATTCATGTTATCCGAAACGTCTCTCCGGAACGCATCAACATACGATAAGGATGGCGACGGCGATGGCGACGACAATGACGATGATGAGTATGATGATGACGACGGCGACCACGAAAGTGATGAAAATTGTGATGTTGATGATGTACGCGAGGATTCTGATAGTGACGATGAGGAGATCGATGCTGGTGACGCTTTTCGGTTGGATTCGCTTCGAGATGTGCGCCAAAGGAATGGTAAGATCCAGAGGGCCAGGATCCAGTGTCAGACAGGGACCGAGGAGGAGGAAGAGAAAAACAAACAACAACAACAACAACAACAACAACAACAACAACAACAGGGACGACGACGGGGACGTCCACCAGGACGAGAGCGAACCTCAATGAGGTTCGCGTTCGCAGCCATCATGCTCCGTGCGGCGGAAGTGGTTGGGGCCTGAATTAGAACCGAAGCGCGCGCGAGGTCCTGATACACATATACATATACACATACAGACATACAAACACAAGTGGCATGTGCGTGCCCAGGCTCACACAAACACATGTGCAGGATGTGTGGGTGGTGTGTGTGTGTGATGCGTGCGTGTGTGTGTGTGTGTGTGCGAATGTGTGTGCGTGGTGTGTTATGGGTGATGTGTATTGTGTGCGTGTGTTGTGTGGTGTGTATGTTATGTGTGAATTATGTGTTCTGCGTACCATGCGTGGTCGCTGTGTTGTGTGTGCGATGTGCGTGTGTGTGTGTGTGTGCGTTTGTTGCGTGTGCGTGTGTTGTGTGTCCGATGTGTGTGCGTGTGTGTTTGTATGTGTCGGTGTGTGTTGTGCATTCGATTGTGTGCGTGTGGATGTTCTGTGTGTTGTTGGTGTTTTGTGTGCGCTCTGTTCTGTGAATTCCTAAGCCGAGGCTCGATTCTGGGATGAGGTCCCAGGCGAAATCGCATGTTTCAAAAAGGGCTAGGTATTTTGAGGATGTCTCAGGGGAGACTGCCATGCTTGACAAATGATACTTGAAACCCATTGCATGTTTTTGAACGCTTTTGGTTAAACTGTTGGAAAGCTGTTGTGTTTTTCGGCCGCCTGCATGCCGATATTGGTTCGGTCTGGTTTTCGGCCTGGTATTGGACTGGCGTGCCTATGTGCATTCCAGTGTTCGGTGCTCTTGCAAGTAGGAAGTCGTATGCGATTGAGTAAGTGGTGTCATGTCTTATTCGGTTTCCCAAGGGACGCGGGACAATCGACGGGACAAATTCAGGCCAACCCGCGGGACAACCCACGGGGCAACCGCGGGACAATCGTGGGCCAACCGTGGACCAACCACGGAAGGCAACCGCGGGAGCAGGATTGATGTTGTTGGCTTTGGCGTAGCAGTGACAGATCGGGCCATCGCGCAAATCCGTTTCGCCCGCACGCGCGACGCGAACTGGAACCGAACTAGATGCGTGTAATTGGGGTCGCTCCGTTTTCGCTCACAAATCTGTGTATGTGAAGGTGCATGTGTTTTGTATCTACGTATGCGTATCATTCGCAGTGTGGGGATCACATCACATACACATGTGTACACACATGGCTGTACATTTCTGTATCGACATATACAAACATGCGCATGATGTTTTGCGTGTTCGGTCGCGATTGTCATGTGCCGGTTGATGTGTTTCTTTGCTTGTCATATCGTTGTCCTTTGTGTTGTTTTTGTTCCATCCGATCTTCCCCCCCCTCTCTTCACCCCCACCCCCCTCCCAATCCTCGAGTAGGGGATCTACTTCAGAATTAACGTACCCGAAAATTAATTTCCCCGCCGAATCTATGGAAAAAAAGCGTAGAACGTTCCGTAAATCGACGGAGCAGCCCACGTGTGTTTCGCAAATTCGGCGGGAACATCGGTGATGGGGTAAAACAATTCTGTAGTCGGTCCCCGACTCGCAATCCTTGTTTTCCTCACGTCCCTTCCCTCCTCTGCCTGATCCACCCCCCTGCCTAGGATTCCTCCTGCTCCCCGGCCTACGAGGGAGAGGGGTGGGAGGTGGAGTAGGAGGAGGAGGAGGAGGAGGAGGAGGAGGAGGAAACAAACACGCACGAAATCGTAGAAGAACGGACTGGGAGTGGACGTCTGAGCGATGGCGCGGCCCCTGCCCTCGCCCCTGCTCCTCGTCCTCATTCGCCGCCGCAGCCTGAAGTACACCATCCTCACCGGAGTCGCCCCCGGCGTGTTCTCTGCGGCCATGGAGAAACCGGAGGAGGAGAAGGCGTACGAGCAGGAGGAGGAGGAGAAGGAGTAGGAGAAGGAGGAGGAGGAGGACGAGGAAGAGTTTGAGGACGAGGACGAGGTCGAGGACGAGGACGAGGTCGAGGACGAGGACGAGGACGAGGAAGAGGACGAGGAGGAGGACGAGGACGAGGACGAGGACGAGGACGAGGACGAGGACGAGGACGAGGACGATGACGAGGACGAGGAGGAGGAGGAGGAGGAGGAAGAGGAGAGGGAGGAGGGGGAGGAGGAGAGGGAGGAGGAGACGGAGGAGGAGAGGGAGGAGGAGAGGGAGGAGGTGAGGGAGGAGGAGAGGGAGGAGGAGGGAAGGAGGAGAGGGAGGAGTAGAGGGTTTCAATCGTATACGAATCACATACGAATCGTATACGGATCATGACCACGTTCGAGCTCAAGTACATGTGTTTAGCTGAGATCACGATGGGCCGTCGATGATCGGACCGATCGCAGCCGCTTTTTCGGATTCCCATTGGGCGGCTTCAAGGAGCTCAGCGCACCCAGAAGCGCTCTTATCATCTCTTCATTAATCGAAGCCCTGTTGAAACGACCCAAAAGCATCGCAACCACTTCGGACACATCGCAACTGGTTGCAATCGGTCCAAAGTGGTTGACGATCGGTCCGGAGTGGTTGCGATCGGTCGTGCTCGCGGCGGGACAGGGAGAAGAGGAGAAGAGGAGGAGGAGGAGGAGGAGGTGGAGGTGGAGGTGGAGGAGGAGGAGGAGGAGGAGGGAGAGGAAGAGGAGCAGGAGGAGGAGGAGGAGGAGGAGGAGGAGGAGGAAGAGGAGAGGGAGGAGGAGAGAGAGGAGGAGGAGGAGGAGGAGGAGGAGGAGGAGGATGACGAGGAGGAGGAGGAGGAGGAGGAGGAGGAGGAGAGGGAGGAGGAGGGAGGAGGCCCGGGAAGAGGAAGGGATGGAGGTGGAGGAGCAAGTTTCCAGGAAGGTCAATGCTGTTTGCATGATGTCTTCGAAGGCCTCCAAGATGCTCTGCACATGTGGGGGTGGAGGGACGGTTGGGGTAGGATTGACGAAGGATGTCGAGGATGAGGAGTCGGAGGAGGACACGCATCTGTACGGTGGACATGTGTTTCGAGGGCGAGAGGGGGTGCAGACGATCGTCGTTTTTTGTATATGCTGGGCTGCGCATGGTTCGATCGATGGAACCACGCGTGTCGACGCTTGTGCGCGGTATCCACTGGTCCGATGACGCGTATTCTGGTTCGGTGATATTCAGGACGTGTGTTAGCCCAATGTGTGTTCACCCCGTTCAACCCAACAAGTCGATCGTCACATCGCTTCCGTCGTTGTCAAGGGCCTTGGTGGGCAAACATACGTTGGCGCTGACACGTTCTGAGGATCATCGACTGGTGGATCGTTTTGCCTGACGAAACGAGCATTGCGATCGACCTACGATCATTGGCAGCTTCTGGCCAGCTGTGGGCCGCCCACTGGCCGCGAGGAGCTGAAGCTCGGCGCGTGTTCGGGCCGGGACGCGCACTGTCGCTCACGCGGGTGATCCGCAGGAAGAGCAGCATCACAAATGTGTCCAACCCCAATGCACCCCAATGGGGGCGATTCGGACGCACTCCATATCGAGGATGGACGCCCCCCATCCTAGATCCCAGGCTTAGGCCCAGAATGTCTGGTCCAGCAGGGAACCCCACGAAGACAGGGACAGGGGTCGACATATCCCCTTTTAGAGAGGCCCAAATCGGCGGCGAGCGAGGGGTGGAATTGTAAAGGAGGAGAAGGCCTTCTCAGAAAGGCGGCGGCACTTCTCAGAAGCCCTCGCGCCTTCTGAGGTGTGTTCTGTGCCTTCGAGGAAGGCTTAGAAGACTTCTCGGAGGGGCGGGGGACTTCCGAGCCTTCTTAGAAGGCCTTCTCCTTCTCTCACTTCCCGCCCTCGCTCGGCGCCGACTGATACAGAGACGAGACATCGAGTACGAGAAGTCGAGAACGATAAATGCATAAGCACCAGCTGTCGGAGCTTCGCGCTTATCTTTATGAGACGACGCCGGGTCCGACCTTGCGATGCTTTTGGCACGGGGAAAGCCGTCCTACAGTGGGGGCCCACGCCAAAAAAACACCCTGCTTGCCTCCAGGGTGCCCTGGGTTTCTTGGGTTTCGATGGCTTTGCTGTGGAAGGCGTGACGTTCCCTGGGTCTCAGGGTTGGGCTTCTTCTTGTTGAATGTTTCTGGTGGTCGAGCTCCTACTCTAGGGCTAACGATGCTGACTGCCCAGACCTTTTGCTCCCGCCTTCCCCGACCCCTCTTGCCCCCTTTATTCTCGGCGGCGGGTTTCTGCTCGAGCTGACCCCGGAGAAATTCCTGCCTCGCTCGCAGAGCACCCGTTCCCTTGTCTCCAGTCGACAGCCCCACAGTGGGGCTTCATCCTCCCCAATCCTTCCAACGAAGACCTCCCAGTAGTTGCCTCCTGACATTCCCTGGTGGTGCTTCCCACGTGGCACTGGCCTCCTGCGGCCCCACGGGCGTGCCTTCTCCTCGCCCAGGTTCTTCTGCCGGTACATCATGACGTGCGACGCGCTGCGTCGACAGGCCAGGGGCCTCCGTCTTCTCGGCTTCTCTCTCTGCCTCTCTCTCTCTCTCGTGAGGATCGCAGCCGAGCAAGACCAGGACCATTAAGAACAGATGGAGGAGTATTACACTGAGCTCAGTAGGCTGTGTGAATTCCGTCCACGGCTGCCCACAGTCGAGCCTTGTTTGGAGGCACGTGGCAGTGCGCGACACACACTGTCCGTACTCGACTTGCTTGCTTGCTCTCTGTCTCTGTCTCCACTTCGTTCCTCCCATGCCTCGAAGGAGAAAAAGCGGCATAATCATAAACTTTCGGCGCTCCGCGCGGATTTCTTGGATCCGCGCTTGGCCCCTCCAGCGCCGCCACTGGCGCGCTCCGCGCGCCAGGGGCGGGGGTCCAGCGCAGATCCAAGACTTCTGCGCGGACCGTCGAAAGTTGTTGTTTATGCCGATTCTTATTTTTTTAATGACGCATGACAAAGGAAACGGGAAGGATTGAGTCGAGGTACCATAGGTTGGGTCAAGTCACCCCGGTGGACGGGCTCTTCGGGATGGTCGCCCCACGGGCCTTGTGGTGGTGGGGGATGAGGGTGCTTTAACCCGTGCGGAAGTTGCTCCCAAATCTGTCACACTGTGGTTCTCACCTCAGTGTTATGCACGCCCACCTTACTGTTATTCACGATCATCTTAACAGTTTCCCGTGTTTAGGCTAATGAAGGGTGTTTTGTTTTCAAGTTTGGGCTCTCGCCTGATGTTCCTTCTTATGCGCAGCATGCCATTCAGATGTTTGCAACCGTCGCATCGGTGAAGGATGTTTTTGTTGTCCAACTGTGGTTTTGGATTCAAGTTTTATTGTGCAGCTGGGCGTAGACATACATGTAACAGTTACAAGGATGCATGGCTGTAGTCCGATGTCCAAACCTCATGTCTGTTGGGTCCTCTTCCTGAAAGGGAGACTCCTCTCGCCCCGCTCCTCATTCCCGCCTGCTGGCTGCCTCCTGCCTGCTGTCCTCGCCTCGCTCTTGTTCATCTCCCGCCTCCCTCCCCCCGCCTCCAGCCTCCTGCTGCCTGCCGCTGCTTCTGCGCCCTTCGCAGAAGTAATGTTGCAACTGTCGCACTTACCTGCGCGGTTGCCAGCTGGGGGGGCTGCCAGCGGCTCTCTGTTTCTTGGGGTGTGCAGGGCCCTGCCGCTGGGTAGTGGCGCGCCGCCTGTGCAAAGCCGCACCGCTACCCGACAGAACACGTGATGGGCCTCCCTCCAACAGAGCTCGTTTTTCAGGGTCTTGGCGACAACGGCCGCGATCGCCCCTCTCCCTCCCCCCCGCGGATCACGTCACGTTATCTCGTCCACATGTGCACAAATTGCCTACGGATTCTCCAGGGGCTTCCAAAGATGTCTGGCGCCCCCCGCCGTGATGTGATCGGGGGGTCAAGTTCCCACCCGCCCCTCCCCCGATCGCGCCCGCTATCGCGAACAACAAGAGCAGGCTCCAAGACCGTCCGCCCGCCCGAGTGGCTGGCGAGGTGCCCGCTCTGACCTGTGGCCGCCGCTGGCACTCGCATCATATTCCGCCGGAGGATTGTCCCCATTCCAAGATCGGGGGTGGACAGAACCCCCAACAGTGACACGTCGATTAGTGAATTGTCCGTTTTCGGTTCTCGAGAGGGCGCCGTGGCCGTTATTTGTCCAGGCTTGCGCCCGCCAGGTTTGGGCCTCAGGTCGTTTTCACTAAACCACGTTTTACTAAAGGGGGTCTGTCCATCCCCGACATGAGCTCCTGGGAGGCACAGCGGAGCGGCGGCGACGACGACGACGTTGTCGTCGGCGGCTCCCGCCGGAGATGCGCAGGCGGAGCCCGACGCCGCCAGGGTGGTGGACGAGATGGTCGGCCAGGAACCTCCCCGCGGGTGGGGAAGAAGAGCTCATGTCGATTCGTCCGACTCGATTCGTCTCGATTTCGATGCGTTCCAATTCCGGTTCCATTCGGTTTCGGATTCCGATTTGGGCCTCAGTTTCTTTGTGCTGACGGTTGCCGACTGCCGACGATCCGATTCGTTTCGATCGCCGATTTGGCTGATCGATTGGATTCTGGGCTCTTCTTTGGGAAGTCGGATGCAACTCCTGGGATGTCAAATTCAGGTTTTGCCCTGGTCCGAAATCCGGTTTAATCTGGCCTAATCCCGCTTAATCCAGTTTCATTCCGCTTAATCCCGCTTAATCTGATTTAATCCCACTTCATCTGGAGCCTTTTCCGGCGTAATTAACAGCCTCCCAATGGGGCTCAATCCTCCTTAATCCTTCTGACGAAGACCTCCCAGTAGTTGCCTCCTGAGGGAGGGACCGGTCGCTCTCAGCCCTGTGCTGCATGGTCGTCGTGCGCGCGCCAGCCGCGCACTGGTCGCGGGCCTCGTCCAGCCGTGAGGACGGGTCCCACGGGGCTGCCTCTCCTGCGGGCGCGCACAGCGCGTCGGCAGAGCCCGCAGGGAGAAGGGAGGGGCGGGGGGGAGGGAGGGCGGGGGGGAGGGAGGGAGGGAGGGAGGGAGGGAGGGAGGATGGGAGGCAGGAGGAGGAGGAGGAGGAGGAGGAGGAGGAGAATAGGGGAAGGGGTTGGGGGAGGGGGGTGGGAGGGGTGTTTCTGCGGATGCGTCTGTGGTTTTTCGGGAAGGGGGCGGCCCCTTCTGGGCAGGTGGTGCTGGGCCAACAAGACCGGACAACGTCCTGAGGCGGCTCGAACAAGAGCAGGGCAGAGCTCGCTCGCCATTTTGGGCCTCCAGGGGGCGGTTTCTCGGCCCCGTGGGCCGTCAAGGCGCGGCCAGAGTCTGCCAGAGAGAAAGATGCGGCCCAGGAGGGGGAGGGCCGAAGGGGCCCACGCTTCTGGTATTCTGACCAGCCTGGCCCGAGAAAGAAAGGGTGGCGGGACCCTGAGCTCCTGGCTTTGCATTTTTTTGCAGCGGGCGTTTGCGCTCAATGTTGGGCCCCGGGGCCCTCGCAGATCGATCCGGCTCGAAAAATGACGCAGAGAGACGGGGTCCGAGGCTCCGGTCGTGATCTTTTGCGATGTTGCAGTTCCTTGGCAACGGCAGATCTCCGGGGAAGGGGGGGACAGAGCGGCCGCAGCTCTGCTGCAAGAGCAGCCGGCATGATGGGCTGCCCGACGAGCGTCGCACGTGCTCGGGCAGGCCCTCCTTAGGCAAGCGCGTTCCACTACTCGCAAAGGAACTACTCCGCACATGGGCTGGGGTCCGCCGCGGGGGATCTACGAAAAAGTAAATCGAGGCAGGCGGTGGTCCCTCGGGCATTTGCGAGCAGGCACTCTGCGAGTAAGTGGGCGCGCTCGGTGAGTCCTGGCCAGGCACCGCCCCTGGTCTCGGTATCGTCTAGCCGATCCCCATCCCCATCCCCTTCGAGACCCCCACCAAGTTACCACCCCAGTTGGGGATACACCCCTCGAAGCCCGAAGGAAGCGGCCTATATCACCATCTAGGTGGGTAAATCGGCCAGTGGGGCCCAGGCCACGCCTCTGGGGATGGGGATCGGTTAATCGATACTCATGGTCCGCCGCGGAGGGCTCGCTGGGGCACTGGCCGGGGACTGGCGCCGCAGGGAGGCTGCCGGGCCGTGTGGCTGGCCTTACTTCAGCCGGGCGTGTCCCTCTACAGGAGGAACATTCAAAGATAGTCAAAAATCGTCTGTGAACGAGTTGTTCTACTCTGTTTGATCATTTTTGAACATTTGTACTACTAGTTTTCACTGTTCTTCCACAATCCGCCTGTAGGAGGACGTGCCCGACCTAAGGCTGGCCCTACGGAGGCCGTGTGCAGGTTGCTAGCTGCAGAGGGCCGGGGTGGTGGCGGTGAAGGCTGCGCCCCCGCGGTGGCACCAGTTGCACAGAATACCTGTCTCGTCGCTCTTCGACTCTCTAGGCCTCCCAGATGGGGTCGGAGGATCGCGCAGCATCGCCGATGCATCGGCGATGCGGCGCGATGCGGGGCCCGATTTTCTCCACGCCGTCGTCGCCGATGCATGGCCGACGTCGCCGATGCACTGCCGATGCATCGGCGATTTGTCGGCGATGCGGTGCGATCCTCCGACCCCATCTACTCGGACCCCATTTGGGAGGCCTCCAGGCGTGGTGCGGTGCACAGTTTTCTGGCCCTCAGAGCCGAAAGATTGTGCACCATACCCCGTTAGAGCGAGGCCTGAAAGCAGTCCAAACATGGCAATTAATTACCATGCATGAGCGCTGTTCTCGTACCAGCTGCACGACGACAACCAGGAGGGAACAAAAACACAGACACAATTAATCGTCGATTCCCTAGAAGAATATGGAGAAACATGGGAAGTGGGGGAAGACAAAAACCCAGAACATATTGAAAAAAAATTGGGAGTCCTGTTATTCAATCGCTTCGCTCATTCCGCCGGCCCTCGAGCGCTCTATGGGGCCTCTTTGAAGCCTCTTGGGGGCCTCTTTGGGGCCTCCTAGGGGCCTCTTGGAGGCCTCTTGGGGGTCTCTTGGGGCTCCTTGGCGGCGTCTTGGGGCCCCCTTGGGGGGCTCTTGGGGGCCTCTTGGGGCGGGGTAGTCGAGTGCACCCCCCTCGGAGGCCACGATCCCCGTGAGGGGTGTCGAAAAAAAGGCCGTCAAAACCATCTCTGAGTAGACCTGGGCGGGCTGCGGTCGGGATACTTTTCGCCGGGGGACCCCCAGGGGCCGCCCCGCGCGCGCGAACTACATGGGAAGTGGGGGGAAGTAAAGAACCCAGAACAGATCGACAAAAGATTGGGAATCCTCTTATTTGTGTATATTTATGTGTGTCCCAGGGCCCCTTCAGACAAGGTGTTCGATGGGCCTGTCGACGTGGAGGCGGACGGAAAGCCCGTTTTTCCGCCGAGCATCCCGTGGAACGACCCCGCGGGGGCGAGACCGCTCGCAGGAGGGGCGGAAGCAGAGGGCAGAGGATGTGGAGAACTCTGGCAGGAAGGTCGTCGAGACCACCGTGAGGGCGGTGGTGGACAGGAACGCGGACCGTCTGGCGCGAGGGCAGGGAAGTCGAGCCCAAGGGGGCCAGGAAGAACGGAGACGCCGCGCCCCTTTCCTGGACTCCTGGCTTTATTCGGGCGTGTCCCTCCCTCTGCAGGACGAATATTATTTGATCATTCTTGAGTGTTTTTGGATGTTTTATTTTTCACCAAATTCCGCTTGTAGGAGGACATGCCCGACCTAATCCTGGCTCCACCGCGACATCCTTGGAGAGATCCAGCAGGCGATGCCCGACCAGCCCGACACCACCACCTCACCGCTGGCTTCTCCCACAGCGTCGGCAGCCCTGTGCATGGCGAGCCCACCGGTGTGAGCTGGCGGGCCCAGCTGCCGCGCGCCATTCTGCTGCGTCTTGCCCTGTGAGGACGACGATGGGCAGTCGGAAAAGGCCGAGGCCGGCCGTGTGCAGCCGGTCTCCGCACCGCCGTTGGGCGTGTGTCCTCCGCGCGCGCGGTCGTTTCTGGCGCCTCGGGGCTGCCTGGGCGCAGCGCAGGTTCCGTCCACACGTGCGAAGCAACAGATTCGAGCAGGGGATCGACCACACAAGTGACTTACCGCAAAACCTATGGTCCCGCCGAATCTACGAAACAGATATGTCAAATGTCCAGCAGATCTACGAACATTGCGGGAACATGATTTTTGGAGTAAATCAATTCTGTAGTCGATCCCCTATTCGACAGAATGAGGGTGAGGCGTTGTCGCCCCCCCCGGTCGGGGGCGAAGATAATCACGTGGGTTTTCTGTTGTTTCCTCCCGTCGCCGTGGTCGCCCGACCCCCCCACGCCGCATACGTCTGCAACGACGTCCTGCAGTCGGTGGCGGCGGTCCAGGCGCGCGGTGACGGGAAGGCCAGCGGCGGCTCCTGCTTGCAGATAGACTCAACCGCTCTTGACAGACAGGACCCCCTTGGTCGTCGTCTTGGCTTTCAGGGGTAATGAAGATCGTGTGCTCCCCCGTGTCTTCCACCCCGTTCTTCCTCCAGATCATCCTCGCCGCGATCGCCTGACGAGGCGCTGCGAGAGGCGAGCCTGGACCAGTGGAGGAGTATGCCCCGAAATCCGACGCTGCGAAAAAGTCGCAACATCATAACAAATCACGCCTGGTCGCATACCCCATCCTTCTGCGCCGTTTGTCCAGCCGTATCGATCCGTGAGGGTCCCAGGAGCCCGAAGTTGTGCGAAAACGCGCGGCTCGGACAAATTGTTACGCCAGGCTTCAGAGTGGCCTCGGTCGCCCGTCGGCGGACACTCTTTTCCTGGCCTCGCGGTCAACCTGCACCGTGCTAGTTTGTTCTGGCTCCCCCACCTCTTGGGATGGTGGACTGGTTGTCGAGCTCCCTCCAAACCGAGAGCTAAAAGCTGCGGGCAGACAGCGTTACACACATGTTCCGAGCTTTGTTTGGGTGGAGAGAAGGGTGGAATCTGAAATGCCGTTTCGATTGATTTTCGAGGCTTGAATCTGCAAAAGGTGAATCACAAGATGGATTGATTTTCGAGGTGCAAATCCCATATGGATTTTACCCTGAGCCCTCCACCCTATGAACATGTCCAGATGTTCGGCATTCTATGCGAATTACTGCTGCACGCCTTGCGGACCAACTGCGGTGGACGCCCGTCTCGCGGCCCTGATCCGATCGGCCGCACTGGGAGGCTTCGCGCGCGGGGGGGGCCCTCGGCAGCGCGCGCCGCCGCCGCGCGCGCCGCGCGCGCCGCGCGCCCTCGAGGAGGACGCGGGCGGGCTCGGCTGGTGCGCCCGCGCCGCGCCCCGCTGGCCCGTCTCGGGCCGAACGAAAGGGGGGGAGGGAAAGGGCGGGTTACGAAGTCTGCTGCATGCGGCTGGTTTCGGCCCCGCCGCCGGGCCCATTCCTCGATACATGGGCGCCTGCGGCGCCGGGAGGCGCCGGGAAAGTCATCTACTTGAGCTGATTCTCAATCCCCCCATTTGCTATCTCCCCCTTTCGCCCGGCCCGACCGTCGGCCGCTTCTGTTCTGTTTTGTTCCCTTTCGGGCAAGAGTTAAGTCGGGCCTGTCCCTCTACAGGGGGAATATTCAAGTCTGGTCAAAAAATAGTCAGGGGACGATTTTCGGACTATTTTTGAATAGTTGCTGAAGATGTTTTGAATCTTCTCCATTTCTCCTCCCAAATCCGCCTGTAGGATGACATGCCCGACCTCAGGCAAGAGAGCAGTCGGCACGGAGGTTGAAGTAGGGCAGTCGGTTTAGGAGGGCCGTCGAACCACGGAGGTCTGCGCAGTCGCCCCCGTGCTCCTCCGTCCCTGTTCGGCCTGGGCGCTTCGCCTGATCCCGAGGGCCTGGCGTCGCAATGTTTGCACAGCTGGCGGTTCCGCTCCACTTCGGGACCCGAGACGCTCACAGATCGATCCAGTTCGAACAATGACGCAGAAGTATGGGGTCTGGGGCTAGGGTCTCGGGCTTGTTTTGCGATGCTGCAATGTTGTCGCAACGCCGGATCTCGGGGGAGATTCCTTGCCACCAATGACCCTGAAGCTTGAGGTTCCGCACCAGCTTCACGGATGGAGGCTGGGCAGTTTTCAAGATGTGGGTTCTCGCCTTCGCGCCGAGTGCAGTCGCCCCAACAGTTCGCAGTGCTTGTCTATTGCTCGGACCACAACGCGCGTTATGGCCCCTGCGCCCCCTCCCCTCACGTATCGCTCTGGCCCCCAGTGTGCGCCTTCGGTACTGCCGCCGTGCGCATAGGGATCCGCATAGCAACCCGAACAGGGATCCGCAAAGGCATCCGCACAGAGATGAGACCGTTTCTTTATTGCTTGGGGCATGACGGGCGTCATGGCCCCCGCTCCCCCCCCTAATGACGTAACGCTCCCTCTCCTTATGACAAAATGGAGCGCTTGTGGATTCCACAGAAAACAATAGAGCATAACCGGTATGGACATCATAGCGCCTCTGGAATCTACGAGTCCTCCCGAGTCCGCCCGCATCACCCTAAGTCCTCCCATCTGCGGCCAGGATGCTCCAGGTAAATTGGCCGTCCGAGAACTAAGTGGACCGATTCAATAGACCATTATGCGGTGCGCGCTGAGATGCGCACGTGCGCTGTAGCGCCAGCCCGCACGACAGGGGGTAAGGAGGAGGAGGGGGCGGAGGAGGAAGAGGGGGAGGAGGAGGAGGAGGAGGTGGTGGAGGTGGACGAGGAGGGAGGAGGGAAGAACGTCGCATTCGATTATCAGCACTTTCTTGGCGTGGCGTCTCGTTGTCCGCAGCAGATCCTCACGTACATGCTCCCTTCTACCTGTCCTATGCACGCAGACATTGTGGTGTACACCAGCGGTGCGTTGCACGTGTGCACCAGCGGTGCGTTGCAGCGGTGCACAGGCGCTGCGGTGCACGCAAGCACTGTGGTGTACACAGGCGCTGTGTTGCACATGGTAGCTGCGGTGTACACATGTACACCGGCGCTGTAGTGTACGCAAGCATTCTGGTGTACACTGGCGCTGCGTTGCACACGGCTGTTGCGGTGTACGCAGGCGCTGTGGTATACACGTGGGCGCCCTGTGTTGCACGCGAGCGTTGTGGCGTACACAGGCGCAGTGGGGCATATCGCCATCTACATGTTACTCGCCGCGTCGTCGTCGTCGTCGTCGTCGTCGTCGTCGTCGTCTCTCGTCGCTCGTCGCTCGTCGCTCGTCGCGTCGCGCGCGCGGGCGCGGCTGCGGTGCCGGAGTCACACGGCGGGGGTGGCATTACGTCATACCCCCCCTCGCCCCCCCCCGATGAAGCCCGTCACCGCCGAACATAAAGAAACGCTCTCGATAGGGATCCGCATTGGGAGTCCCAGGGGCCCTTATACAGATCCGCGTAGGGATTTGCAAGGGGATCCGCATAGGGATCCGCGTGGGGATCCGCATACGGATGGTGCTCGCGGGCAAATTGCGATGCTCTCAGGCACCTGTGGTGTTCTTAGGTCTTAGGAGAGAGAGAGCAATAGGAGGAGAAGGACGACGACGACGACGACGTGACGCATACCTCTTATACGCCACGTGGAGACAACGACGCCTTCGCTGGCATGTGCTCGTCGCAAATCATCGTCGCTCTTCGTTGTCGGTCGTCGTCGTCGTCGCTCTTCGTTGTCGGTCGTCGTCGTCGTCATCGTCGTCGCTCGTCGTCGTCGTCATATTCGTCGTCGTTGTCGTCGGTCGTCATCGCTCGCGATCGCTCGTCGTAGTCAAACGCCTTCGAATACTTTCGAGGGCCTCTGGCGGCCTTCGGATGACCTCCAGAAGGCCTCTGGAGGTGGCCTCAGGAGCCTCCGGAGGTGAAATGAAACTTCCGGAGACCTCTGGAGGCGTCGCTCGTCGTCGTTGCCGTCGTCGTCGTCGCTCGTCGTCGTCGTCGCTGTCGTCGTGGTCGAGGTCGTGTTCGCTCGTCGTCGTCGTCGTCGTCGTCTTCGTCGTCGCCGTCGTCGTCGTCGTCGTCGCGTCGTCGTCGCCGTGGTCGCCGTCGCCGTCGCCGTCGGCGTCGTCGTGCTCGCTCGTCGTCGTCGTCGTCGTCGTGTTCGTTGTCGCTCGTCGTCGTCGTCGTCGTCGCCATCGTCGTCGCTCGTCGTCGTCATGCGCGCGGACGCTTTGGTGGCGCCAGAACCGCACGGTGCGGCGGGGGCGTTATGTTATACCCCCTTCATAACGCCTGGTACCGTTTCGAATAATGCGCGCTCCAAGCAGTCTCAAAGATGGATGGCGGTTCTTTTGCAAAATGTGCTTCCCGCCGAATCGTTGCGCACATCCGTCTTGAACGCTTGCAACAGCTTCGTCGGTTCGCATAGTGGAGCTCCCATATTGGCGTTCTGGAGCGATGTAGGATACTGTCAAGGACGCAAAACTACCCTTGATTTCGCAGTGTTGAAGTATTAGGAACGGTGCTCTGGCACGACTCAAGACCATCAGGACGCAGCAGTCATGTTGCTTCGCGGCGCTGAAGTCCCAGGCATGGTGCTTTGGCGTGATTGAGGATTCTCCGATGGTTGTCTTTCAACGGGGCATTCCCCGCAATGAGAATACATGCTTGTAGGGCCTTGAAGAGGAAGTTCGGTGAGAAAGTGTATTGCAACATCCTTCATGCGTCTTGGGATTACACTGGTCCTCTTCCTCTTCCTCCCCATCCTTTCCCTACTTCACATTGGATAGAACCCTAACTCAGGCATGCCCAAATAGAACGGGTCAAGATCATCATATGTTACAAGCTGTCGGCCCGCTGGGCGTGTTGAAGATGCGCTACCCCCGTAAGATGCTTTCGCTACATTCACGATGCTTTGAACATGCGTCCTTTCCCCTCACCCCTCCCATCCCTAGGCCTACACATTGTACCCACCAGTCTCGAATTACTTCATGCAGACGAAATGCCAGCATAGAGACGTGCGCAGGGACAAACACATTAGCGCGCACGAGCCTATTAGACTTCTCCTGGGAAAAGACTCAACCATCTGCAGTTATGAGTACAGCAGTTATGAGTATCGTCTTAGCTACCTGCGGGGGCACGGACCATGTGCAGGATGCGCCGAATTTGGTCTGACGCCACGGTGTGGACGATGCCCCTGAGGTCTTCGGTGGAGCTCCTTCTGGGGTCACGAAAGATGTGAGGGGTGTGCCGAACCGGGTGTGACGCCACCGTGTGGACGGTGTTTCTTGGGCCTTCGGTGGAGCTCCCCACGGAGCCGCGAAACGTTTTTGAGGTGTGCCGGAACAGGTGTGACGCCACCATGTGGATGCGATGTTGTGGCTTTAGGTGGAGCTCCCTATGTGGCCATTGAGGGTGTTCGCGGTGTGCCGAAACGGGGTTGGCGCCATCGTGTGGGCGTTGGTTCTCGGGCTTTCAGTGGGGATCTCTAGGTGGGCTGAAATGGGCATGCGGAGGGCAGATGCAGGGATGGGAGGAGGGAGGAGAGGGGCGGGAGTGAGGGAAGGTGACGAGGGGCGTTGTCTCTTCCAAACCAGGTTCCAACACCACAGGGCGGTTGGGAACAAGAACGCCAGGCAGAGGCTGTGGCTCGGGCCGAACGTAAGGGGGGGATAGGGGGTGTTACGAGATCTGCTGCATGCAGCTGGTTTGGCCCCGCCGCGGGGCCCATTTCTCGATACATGGGCGCCTCCCGGCGCAGGGAGGCGCTGGGACAATCAGCTACGTGAGCTGATTCTCTACCCTACCCTTTACTATCCCCTCCTTTCGTTCCCCCCGAGTGGCATGCCATCGCGAACAGCGTTCGTCAGCAACATCGACAGCATGAGACCGGAAACCCAGGAAGCGGCCAGGGGAAAACGAGAGCACAGCAAGATCGTCGTCGGAAGGTGCCATCAGCCCCTCGCGAGCAATGGAGGGGAAGAGAGAGGGAGCAAACTGCTTTAACAGTTTTAACGCCTGCTGCGCCGCACCGTCCCCGTTAGGGTTGGTTAGACTCGAGCCGCACTGAACTCAGGTTGTGAGCGATGTTCAGGCTGTGGTTCGAGGCCCAGGTTCAGCAGTCTTTCTACTGCTGAGGAGGCAGCCTTGTTGCACCGCATAATGCTCGACGCTTGGCGTGCCGTGAGACGCTTCACAGCCTGCAGGAATGAACATGACACACAGATCCCGAGCAGCCCGTGCTGTCCAGGGAGCTCCGCGCTCAAATCCGAGAGCATCGGGCTCGGTTCGAAAGACGCGGGAGACTCCCAGAGGGTCCGAGACGTATCGGACGATCGGACATCGGCCAGGTCAGAGTGCCTGTGCCCGGGAATAGCTATTGATGTCCTCCGAACTCCTACCCACAACTCGTTCCCCCACCAGGCCTCGTCCGCTTCGGCGCGCGGGCCATCGCCCCCACCCGACCGCGGAGCGGGAGGAGAAGGGGGGGGAGACATACATCGGAGAACAGTGGGGTCGACAAAGAATACCTGGGATGATACATGTAGCTGCTGAACTGGCTGCTGCAATCGGCCCCCGCATTGCTGGCAGGGCATGTAGCTGCTGAACTGGCTGCTGCAATCGGCCCCGCATTGCTGGCAGGGCTCGGACGCAACGTAGGGGGACCAGCAGCTGCGTGCGTGCTGGGAGGGGCGAGGTCGTCCACTCCTCCCCCGATGCACGCACCCTCTTGGGGTTCTCCGGGGGCTCTCTTGGGGGCCATGGGAGGCTTTTCGGGGCGATCTAGGAGGCCATCGATCCCAGAAGGAGGGCTTCCTCCGTGCGTCCCGCATCGGGCGCTGCGAAAGTGAGTCTTCTTGGGCCTTCTCGACGCTCGATAGGGGTCGCTCTGAGGCGCTCTTGGGGCCGTTTTGGGGCCCTCCTGGGCGCCTCGGGGACCCTGTTGAGCCATCTGGGAGCTGTTCAGGCGTCGAGAGTCCATCGAAAGCGAACAGCTGAGAAAGCTAAAAACTCGGACAAACACTAGGATTGTGAATGATGTTCGCATCCTGTGGAACTCCTGGGGAAGTTTCGTGGCCACAAGGAGCCGCGTTGGAGCGGACCCGAGGCCTCAGAAAGGCGTGTTGGAAGCTTTTTTGGTGTCTGGAGGCCTCTAAGAGCCATCTGGGGTCCCAGGGAGAGGTGGCGCAACCCCGGGACCCCCCTCGGGACCCCTCCCATGACCCCGGTCGGGCCCCTCCTCCCCCCCGCGCGGAGAGGTGCTCAAGGGAAAAGGGCTCCTTTCGAACCAATCACAGCGTCTCTCAACTTCCCTCGTTGTGGCGCTTCAGGCGGAGGACCCAGGGGACGGGGCGGGCGGAGCGGCGACGACGACGACGAGTCCGCGGCGGGGATGTGTATCCATTACCACCGCCTGGGGGATCGATCTTCGGGGACTTCGGTATGCGGTGGGTATAGATGTATTCGGGCCTCCTGGGGCCTACATATATCCATATCCTCCGTCCACTAGGTTTCCGGGACATCGGTTCCCAGTCGGTGGATGTGCATAAATCCCCGCCTCACAATCACGACGACGGCGGCGGCGGCGGCGACGACGACAATTCAAACTGGAAAGTCTCTCACAAACGCTGGCAGGGTTGGCGGATTTGTGTGCACACATATCGGCATTCCCTTCTGGACAGTTTTTAGGCAGGGATATTGCAAGAGCCTGTGTCACTCCGCTCGCCGCCCACAACAAAGACGACGACGACGACGGGGTTGGCGGCGACGACGACGACGACGAAGACGACGACGAAGACCACGACGACGAAGACTACGACGACGAGGACGGCGGCGGCGGCGGCGGCGACAACGACGACGACGACGACGGTTGCGCCCACGACGACGGAGACGACGATCATCGATGCCATGTCGCCGCTGCCTCGCGCGCGCGCGTGCCGGCAGGTCGTGCCGGGTGTGTGCCTGCTGGGCCGCGTGCAGCCTGGCGGGGTTCGCCGTTGCCGCCTTCAGGCCCAGCCGCCCGGCTTTGGCGGGCTCGGATCGCAGACCCTCTCGGGAGCCGGGGCCCAGGGGGGTTGCTGGCCTCGGGGGAGGGGGAGCATCGATTCCCCATCACTCACCGGGCGCGTTCCACTACTCGCAAATTGCCTACTCGCAAACGTCCGAAAAACACGTCTGCCTCGGTGCCATGTGTCGTAAATCCCCCATGGCGGATCCAGGCCATTTGCGAGCAGGTCGTTTGCGAGTGGTGGGTGGGACGCGCTGGTCTAATCACCCACTCCTCGCCGATCGGGGACAGGGCCCCCCAGCCCCTCCCAGGAACGTGCGCTCTTGATATCGAGGGCAGGTCGCCTATCCATCGGCGAGGCACCGCCGATGCCGAGTCCACTGCTCCCCCCCCCAGGAGCCATTCCGCCCCTCTGTTGTCCCCCTCCTCTCCGAAGAATTCATTGTTGGACCTCTGGTGGATATCCTTCTCCTCCTCCTCCTCCTCCTCCTCCTCCTCCTCCTCCTCCTCCGCGTCCTCCTCCTCCTCCTCTCCTCCTCCTCTTCCTCCTCCTCCTCTCCCTCCCCCTCACCCTCACCCTCACCCTCACCCTCACCCTCACTCTCACCCTTACCCTCCTCCTCCTCCTCCTCCTCCTCTTCCTCTTCCGCATCGCCGCAGCCGTCGTGGCGTGGGCTCCTCTGGAGACCCGGAGCAGTTTTCGTGACGGCCCTAGGGCGGGGGGGCAGGCAGTGGCCCCCGGAGGCCGACAACGTGGGACCCAGTGCCGCCGCAATTTCCGGGGGCTTGCGACGCCCGGGCTTTCTCCTCTCCTGAGCCGGAGAGCACCATTTTAGTAAGCGTCGGGGGGGCGTCACCCCCGCCGACAGCCCCACCTCGAACCCCCGTCGCGGGCAGCCACCGCGCGCCGAAGGCGCTCCGACCCCCGTCGCGGCGCGACGATAAGGCGACGTTGATCCCCGTCGGAGGGTACCCCTCCCACGCTCATTAATTAAGAAACCCAGAGTAATGACACCGATCCTGGCCAGCCTCACGTTTGCCCTTGCGGATCCGGGCTTCAAGCATTCACGACGGGAGCGTGCCCGCTGGCGCGGTTGGTGGTCGCTGTGGTCTCTGGGGAAGAACACGCTGCCCGCCGATCTTCGTGTCACGACGTCCAGCTTGCTTCTCCCGCCTCTCTCCGTCCGAAACTTCTGGTGTCAGGATTTGATTCAATACAGGGCCATCAGCAGTTCTGTCCCCTGCCTGCCCCAGGTCCAACTTTGATCGCGGATCTGGGTTTTGGCGGCCGTGGAACCCATCAATGTCATTCCGAGGCCAGTAAGAAGGGCTAAACAAATCATTGCGCATGCGTTGCAAGACGTTGCCTCCTCCCTGGCCACTCCTGCTCGCCTTCTCTCGCCCTCATCCGACGATGTCGACGAGCGCCCGGCAGGAACCCTGGCGTGGTGCCGTGTGCGTCTTCGAGCAGGAGATCGGGCTTGCGATGGGCATGCGGGGGGAGGGGGCAGGGCAGGCGGGCACGGGCGAAGTCCGTGGGGGAGAATGCCGGGGGATGTGTGTGTGTGTGGGATGATGGAGGATGAGGATGTGGCAGACGGGCACGAGATGAGGAGGAGGAGGAGGAGGAGGAGGACCATAGCAGACCCAAAACTCATCAACGATGTTGCAATAGAGCCGCCCTCCAAGTTCGCTCTTCACAGGCCCGGTAGAAGAAGTCATTATCACCGAGGGGAGTGCACCGTTGGAAGACAACCGTTTCAAAATCTTGAAATGTGCCAGAACACCATCCTTGGGACTCCAACGTCGCGAATTACCGTCACTGGTGCGTCTTGGCGATCCTGACTCGCGCCAGAAGTTTTCTTGGGACCTCAACACTGCGAATCACCGTTCTTGTTACGCTCTGACATTCCGACAGCGTGCCGAAACACCAGTTTTGGGATGTCAGCCATGAGAAGTCGTGAAGTTGTTGTAAACTCTGAGATCGAATGTGCGTGCCGCTAAGGCGAGAGCCACATTTTGAAAAGGAATCGCCTTCCATACTTGATACCTTTCTCTGCAAATGGTTAAGACGAGTGTGCGCGGCACTCAGGCGAGAGCGACACTTTGAGAGTTGCCCGCCCTCCATCTCTGATATTGTTGAGAATCCAATTTTCAGGATCGTAAATGGTGAGGAAGGCTCAGGTGAAACGCCCGGCCCGCCCTACCGACACGCCTCAGGGTGCGACAGTGAGGAGATATATAGAAGGAAAAGGAATGGAGGAGGAATGCGGAAGGCGGATGTGGGAGGAGGGAGCAGGAGGGGGCGGGGGCGTCCAGATGCAATATTGTGGAGTGCGGAGGAAGAGATCCGAGCACGAGGAAGAGTAGGAGGAGGAGGAGGAGGAGGAGGAGGAGGAGGAGGCGGGCCAGGGCAGACGGACACGGACGATGATTTCAAACATTTGGCCTTGCGAGGGACTCGGACCTTAGCAGCTCCATGCGACGTTGGCGATGAACTTCTCTGCGCAAGATCCGAGTGAGGAGTACTCCGAAGCACGCGGGGAAACGCAAGCAACGTTTCCCACTGGAGCCGTAGGTGGGGCTCGTGTGAGAGCGAGGTTGCCACGGCCGCATTTTGGGGAGGGCACCTCCCCCGATCCATGGATTTGGCGACCGCTCGCCAGATCCATGGATCGCCAATCCTCTGTCTTTAAGACGCTTGTGGCTCCCGTGGCCCCGAAGGCCTTGGCAGGGCAGGGCCGCGACTTTGGCATGGCAGGGCCGCGGCCCTCGGAGCGGCTTGGCGCGACGGCGCGACGTGGAGGAGGAGGAGGACGAGGACGAGGAGGAGGGGAGGAAGCGGAGGACGAGGAGGAGGACGAGGAGGAGGAGGCGGTGGACGAGGAGGAGGCGGTGGACGAGGAGGAGGAGGACGAGGAGGAGGAGGAGGAGGACGAGGAGGAGGAGGAGGACGAGGAGGAGGAGGAGGAGGAGGAGGAGGAGAAGGAGGAGCAGGAGCAGAGGAGGAGGAGAAGAACGAGGAGGAGAAGGAGGACGAGGAGGAGGCGGAGGACGAGGAGTAGGACGAGGAGGAGGAGGAGGAGGAGGAGGAGGCGGTGGACGAGGAGGAGGAGGAGGAGGAGGAGGAGGTCGAGGAGGAGGACGAGGAGGAGAACGAGGAGGAGGAGGAGGAGGACGAGGAGGGGGCGAGGATGAGGAGGAGGAGGAGGATGAGGCGGAGGAGGAGGACGACGAGGAGGAGGGCGAGGATGAGGACGAGGAGGAGAGGAGGAGGGGGGAGGAGGAGGAGGAGGAGGAGGAGGAGGAGGACGAGGAGGAGGACAAGGATGAGAGGAGGAGGAGGAGGAGGAGGAGGAGGAGGAGGAGGAGGAGGAGGAGGAGGAGGAGAGGAGGAGGAGGACGAGGAGGATGACGAGGAGGAGGAGGAGAAGGAGGAGGAGGAGACGGAGGACGAGGAGGAGGACGAGGAGGAGGAGGAGGCGGAGGAGGAGGAAGACGAGGAGGAGGATGAAGAGGAGGAGGAGAAGGAGGAGGAGTGGAGGAGGAGGGAGGAGGACGAGGAGGAGTAGGAGGAGGAGGAGGAGAGGAGGAGGAGGAGGAGGAGGAGGGACGGGGAGGAGGAGGAGGAGGAGGAGGAGGACGAGGACGAGGACGAGGAGGAGGACGAGGAGGAGGAGGAGGAGGTGGAGGAGGAGGAGGAGGTGGAGGAGGGAGGAGGAGGGAGGAGGAGGAGGAGGAGGAGGAGGAGGAGGAGGAATGAACCCTGTGTGTTGGGTGGGGCGCTTGTGCTCACCCACCCTATCGAGGCGGTGCTGATGAGGATTGGGAAAGTCCCACCTTCCGTTAAACGGTACCACGTACCGTGCGACGCATTTATAAGTAGTAGCTCGGACGAGCCTGCCGCAAATCTTTAGCAAACGCCTGTGCCAGCTCAAGGTGGAAGGCAGACCCACCGACGGCCAGGTCACGGTGACAATGGGGTCTTGCGGGAAACGTCCCCGCGGGCAGCCGCGCTCCGCTTTCCCAGAGCGAGTGGGCAGGAGGGGGACGAAGGGGGAGAGGACAAGGATCATGTCCAAAGCAGGGAGGTAGGCGATGACCAGCAAGAGACAGTGGTGGCTCAGCTTGCTGATGGGAAGCGAGGGGATTCCGAGTGAGATAACGGATGGAGATGGGGAGGGAGGGAGGGGCAGGGGAGGAGGAAAAAACATAGGGCGGGAGGTCGAGGAGAGGGAGGAGTGGGAAAGGAGGGCTGGTCGGGTACGAAAATCCAAGTTCGTATCGTCTAGGTGGCCCCCTGGCTTCGAGGTGGAGCTCTGGGCCCACCCTTCACCGGACAGCTGCCAGCTGCTGATCTCCGCGAACGTTTGTGAAGTCGAATGGTGGGGGGGGGAGGATTTGTCCTCCCCAGTGCGTCCGTCCCCTGGCCGGTGACCTGGAACAGGCCGCGTGGGGGTCCCGGCAGGTAACCGTCGGCCCGCCAGGCAATCGGAGAGGCCAAGAGGGAAGAGCGGAGGCAAGGAGTGCACCTTCAAGGTATTGGATTGCCCTTGATCCAAGAACAATTCGCTTCACATTCCCACACCAGTCATGTGGAGGGAGAGGGGTGGAGGGAAGGAAGAGGGGAGGGGGGCGGGAAGATCCGGGGATGCAGGGACTGGCGGAAGATAAAGGGGTAAAGGGGGATGAGGTGAGGCGTATGAGTGTGCAGGCCTACCGGCCTTGTCACCGGGTGCGTCCTTGAGACAACTGCCTCGCGACGGAGGCAATCGTGCAGCATCTGAGGATGCACGAATTCTGGTCTTGCCGCCAGAGAGCGGCGGAATGAGGGGGACGAGTAGGGGGGATGAGGGGGACACGCAATAGTGTGCAGGACTACCAGCCTTGCCGCTGGGCGCGTCTTTGATGCAATTGCCTCGCGACGGGGGCCAGCGTGCAGGATCTGAGGATGCACGAAACCTGCCCTTGCCGCCAGGGAGTGGCGGAAGATTGAGGGGGAGCGGGGGGGATGGGCGGAGGCGAAAGAGTGTGCAGGACTAGTTACCGGCCTTGCCGCCGGGTGCGTCGTTGAGGCGAGTGCCTCGCGACAGTGGCGTGCGTGCCTTGCCGTGCCTTGCCGTTAGGGAGCGTCGGATGATGGAGAGGAAGAAATGGGATGTGGGGGAATTGTAAGAGAGTGCAGGACTACCGGCCTTGCCGCCGGGCCGCCGGGAGCGTCTTTGAGGCAATTGCCTCGGGACGGGGGCGAACAGGACCACCGGCCTTGCCGCTGGGTGCGTCTTTGAGGCAACTGCCTCGCGACGGGGGCAATCATGCAGCATCTGAGGATGCACGCAAGCTGGCCTTGCCGCCAGGGGGCGGCGAAACAGGAAGGGGGGGAGGGGGATGAGGAAATGCTCGAAAATGTACAGGACTACAGGCCTTCGTCGGGTGCGTCCTTGAGGCAACTGCCTCGCGACAGGGGCCAGCGTGCAGGATTTGACGATGCACGACGCCCGGTCTTGCCGCCAGGGAGTGGCGGAAAATGGAGGGGGAGGAAGGGGATGAGGGGGACACGAATGGGTGTGCAGGACTACTGGCCTTGCTGCCGGGTGCGTCCTTGCGGCAACTGCCTCGCGACTGAGGCAACGTGCTGAAGTTTCAAGATTCACGCAACCCGGTATTGCCGCCAGGGAACGGCTGAAGAGGGAGGGGGGAGAGGGAAATGAGGGGATGCGCGAAAATGTGCAGGTCGACCGGCCTTGCCGCTGGGTGCGTCCTTGAGGCAACTGCCTCGCGACGGGGGGCAATCGTGCAGCATCTGAGGATGCACGAATCCTGTTCTTGCCGCCAGGGAGCAGCGGAATGTGGAGGGGAGGAGGAGGGGGATGAGGACGAAAGAGTGTGCAGGACTACCGGCCTTGCCGCCAGGTGCGTCCTTGAGGCAATGAGGAGGCGCGTGACCTGGTCTTGCCGCAGGGGAGTGGCGGAAGATGGAGCGGGAGGGGAGGTATGGGCGGAGACGAAAGAGTGTGCAGGACTATCGGCCTTGCCGCCGGATGCGTCGTTGAGGCGAGTGCCTCGCGACAGTGGCGTGCGTCCGACCGCTGTTGAGACCGACGTAGTAAGGACCTCGTATGTTGGTGCCGCCCCAGCTGCCTGACCCTGAGGGCGTTTGACAGGTGTTCGTTGGGCGTGCGCCATGCGGCGCACGCCCTTCCCAGCGCCCCATGCGTGGAGGGAGGATGGAGGAGGGAGGGGGGAGGGGGGAGGGGGGAGGAGGGAGGAGGGAGGATGAGGGAGGAGGAGGAGGATGAGGTGGAGGAGTGGAGGAGGAGGAGGAGGAGGAGGAGGAGGAGGAGGAGGAGGAGGAGCAGGAGGAAGAGGAGGAGGAGGAGGAGGAGGAGGAGGAGGAGAAACAGGAGCTGCACCTGGCCTGCGGGGGCCGGCGCGGCAGTGCCGAGGGGCTCTGCCCCGCCTGCTGCAGAAGGGGGCCTTGCGTCGGCAGTGCCGAGGGGAGCTCTGCGCGACAAGGCCGAGGGACCTGCACCGGTGCAACCGAAGACCTCTGGAGTCGGGGGTTCGTAGAGGGAGGGTTATTCCAAGGTGGGGCTGGGGAGCGGGCCCAGCTGGATGTTCCCGCATGACGCGCTTCCTCATTCCAGGGGCCGTTTGGAGCGGTTTTCCCTCCAAACAAACCTCTGCCCCAACCCCACCTGTGTGCCCCCCGATGGAAGCCTCCACCCTCCTCGCGGAGAGCTGAAGCCCGAGACGTGTCCACGTTTTTCTGTCGAGGCCGAGCCCTCGTGGGCGTCGCAGGCCACGTCGTCACGACGGTTGTCTCGGTTGGTCGCCGTCCAGGCTGGCGGCCGTTCTCGACTCCGCATTGCAGTAGGCATGCGACCCAGGGCGACAAGCGGGTCTGGGCGAGGGGATCGAGGGCTCTGGGGGCCCGCGTCGTGGGAGAGACATCGTGGGAGGCTCGGGAACCGTAATGCCGTAAGCCACCGTGTGCCCATGGAAAAGTATATCTCTCTCTTTTTCTCTCTTTTTTTTTCTCTCTCACTCTCTCTCTCTCTCTCTCTCTTTATTCCCCTGGAGCCTGCTTTTGTATTCTCTCGGCGTAACGGGCCTCACCCAGAGGGGGGGGGGCTGTGAGTCACGCTTTGCGCCCGCGTGGTCTGGAGATCGCTGGAATCGCCCAGACTTGCCGAGACTGCTAGGACTTCTGGGCCCCGCAGGCGCCGAACGCTCCGTGACAACGGCGTGGCTGGGCGTGACGTTTGCCACTCCGAATACAACACAAGGCGCTCCTGTGATGGCCTCCTCCTCCACCTCCTCCTCCTCCTACTCCTCCTCCGTCTCCCTCCTCCTCTTCCTCCCCTTCCTCCTCCTCCCTCGCTTCTCCTCCTTGGAGCTTCGAGCTGAGGACAGTGTCGAGCGAACGCCCTGGTGCCCTCGGTATCCATCCTCCCAGCAGGTGCTGGCGAAGGGAACAACAGAATCCAAGAGGTAAGGAAGAGAGACGAGAAAGGCCACCCAGCCGAACGGCGGACGCATGGGATGGTGCACCTCACAGGGGGGGAAGGGGAGGATAGAGGATAGAGGCTGTCTGTGGCGGCCGGCGCGCTCGTGCAGTTGGGGCCCGAGCGTGAGTCCGAACCCCCTTTTCGGGGGGTGCTGAGACCCGCTTCGGCCCACCTCTGTTGGAGGGGGGCTAACTTCTTCCATCATCCGATCCAGAGGTCAGGAGGAAATAAGGAGGTCCTGGTGCATGGTGCGGCGCGGCGAAGCGGCAGGAGAGGCCAGTGTTGGTGGGTGGGTGGGGGGCAAACCAGGTGCGGCGTGCGCGGCGTAGCAGCAGAGGAGGGTGAAGTCAAGAGGTGTGAAGAGATGGTCGGGGGAGTGGAGGAGGTGGCCCGAGCGCGGCAGCCACCCCACGAGGAGAGGGTGACGGTTCCCTCGGCTTGGCTCTTAGCGGGGCGCGGCCTGGTGCTCCGCGGCCGCCGTGGGGCTGTATCCCACCTGCGGCCTGTGCCGACGTTGGCCAGTGGGTTTCCTCCCCGAACCCCCAAAAGATCTCCACACCATCCCGCCTCCCTTGAGGTCCTGCGATGGTGAGGTGGAGGAGGTTAGTGGGCGAAAGGCAGGGGGAGCAGGGGCGTGTCGAGACGACGGTGCGAGGGAGGTGTAGGTTTGGGGGAGCTTGAGGTGACTCAGACGGGGCAGAGGACGCGGTAGTTGATGAAGGGAAGCTCGAAGATGAGGTCAAAACCAGTGTAGTAGTGTTAGTTGCAGATGTGGTTGTAGGCGTGGCCGGGTCGTGAAGGAGTGGGTTGTTGGTTATGTTCGTGTAGTAGCACTGTGTGTGTGTGTGGAAGTTGTTGCCAGCTAATGCCGCGGAGTAGTTGGTAGGAAGACCGATTCGCTGTTACGCTTCGTCGAGGTCAGTAGGTGATGTTGCTGCTGTGAGTGGCAGTGGGTGCGTAGGTTGGGTCAGGCGTAGAAATCTGATGCTGGGTAGAGGTGGTAGCCAGCCGAGTCGTGCGGTGCCGTCGTGTGGAGCAAACTTGGTAGGAGTGGAATTGAAGTTGAGCTCTGCAAGGGAAGCTTCAGCTGCTCGGCTCGTGACGCTGGAGAGCTAGGGTGGCATTGCTGCTGTTGCTCCTCAAGGTGAGGGAGGGTGACCAGTGCCACGGGTACGACGCTCAGCAATGGGTATGGAGTCGTAGTTGATCGAGTGTTCGATCGGGGGCGTCGCTGCTGGCCGTGGCCGTTCCCTGTCCTCAGTAGCCATCCATCCTTGTTTGGGTAGGTGGCTGGTGAATGCAGAGTCTGCTGGTTGGCTTCGTGCTGGTAGGACTGTGAATACTGGTCCTGGTGACCGTCGTGGGAACCGCTGCTCGTCGCCTGGTTGCGGTCGGTGTCTTCCAATGGCGGTCGGCGGTTCACGGTCTTGTCGTGATTGATCTTTTGGTCGATGAGCTCGTAGTTAGTGTTCATTTGGGCATCCAGGTCCATGACGTTCGCAGCTTGCGGTGCGCGCATGATGGCGCCCGTGATGATACCGATATATGCCTCGTGTTCGATCTGGCGGTTCCGATCCTGAGAGTTTGTGCTTGGGTGAGTCTGGGTCCTCCCCTGGCTCACCCCATGCCCAGAAACCTTTGGGCGGGGCCCATGCGCCTAGCTTGGCTAGGGGGAATGTGCTCGGCCTCGGTGATGGCTATGCAAACTTTCGCAGGTTTCAGCTTTGGTGTCCAGTTCTTGTAGGCTTTGCGTATATGATTGATCTCCTGGCAGTACTGGTGACCCGCCTACCACCTGCCCTTTCCACTCGACGACCCGCCGCTGAGGTGCTGCGTGAGGCTCCGGCCCACCGCTTTAGGTTAATTTGTTCGTGCGCGCCCTGCTCTGACTGGACTCGCCGTTGGCGCGCTCGCCTGCGGCCGCTGACTAAAAAAGTATATGATTGATCTCGCCGTCTAGATGGTCGATGATTGTGCGGTAGAAGCAAGCGGCTTGAAAGTAGCCCTCCCCTGGCGTCAGTACTGTCTCGTGGAGCTCGTCGGTTTCTTGCTGGTGGACCCCGTCGTCCATTCTAGTTTGCTCCTGCGGCATGTCCTGGGCGTCGTGGTGGCCGTCTCCATGCTGCTCCTGGTCACCGGTCATGTGGTCTCCTATTGCCTGTAGCCAAGGGAGGAAAACCACCCCGACCCCGATAAGTGGCTTTTACTACACGGCCCCTGGCGTTTACTAAACAGCCCTGTCCTATTCGATTCCTTCTTTGGGTGCGTTTACTGAGGTGTGGTTCGCTTGTCGGGGTGCTTGTTATGGGGGTGGATCTTCGGCTCTCTATGCAGCGCTCCGATGGTCTTAGCAACTGCTGCTTGGTGTCGGCCTTCGCCCATGATGTTCTGATTGGTAACGTTGTTCTTGGGTAGGGGGCCCTTACCTCGGGTGGCGGCAGTGTTCTTTTCCTGTTCCTCCTCCTCTTCCTCCGCCTCCTCCTCCTCCTAACACACTAAGGAGTGGTAAAGGTCGTACTCTTTCAGTATGGCATTTGGAAGAGGCCAGGACCCTTGAAAGAGCACGGCCGTCAGGCTATGCCACCCTGCTCTTCCGTGGGCAGTCGGTGGACATCCCCCTTCCCCCCTCCTGATGCAGCATGGACCCTCCTCTGGGGAGCGGGGGGGGGGCACTCTGCTCGCATATTTCAGCACGCGATAGGTCGCACAGAGCAGAAGATTCTCTGAGTTTCAGATGTGTGGCCACTTGGTGACACTGGGCCCGATATCGCTCCGCTGCCGCCTCCTGCTGCTCCTCCTCCTCCGTATCCCCCCTCCCTTGCTCCTCCTCCTCCCTCCCTCGCTCCTCATCCCTCACTCCCCCCATTCTCGGAGCCCCGGCTCGTCACCCGTGCGGGGCCGGGCCGACGGGCAGGAGCGGCTCGGTGCCGCAGCCGGCGATGATGGTGCCGCCCAGGCACCTCACCGTCAACAACATTCAGGCGAAGCAGCGCAGAGACGATCGGATGCAACTCCTGGGAGGTCGAATTCCGACTTTCTCCGGGTCCGAAATCCAGCTTAATTTCGGCTTCTTCCCGTTTGATCCAGCTTATTCCCGCTCAGTCCAGCTTCAATCTGCTGAACTTGGCTTGATCTCGCTCAGTCCGCGGCCTAATGCCTAATCCGGCGTAGAAGCCCCCCTGGAGTTTACTCCTCCTTAATCCGTCCGACGAAGACCTCTCAGCAGTTGCCTCCCAAGAAAAACGGGGCCGACGACGCCGAGATTGGTGCGTGAGCTGCCCGCGTAAGGTCGCGCGTAAGCGCCCTCGTCTCCAATGTGGCGCACTGCGCTGGCGACCCGCGCAAGCCACCGCGCAAGGCCGTGTTGTCGTCTCGCGTAAGAGCGTGAACAACATGCAGGCGAAGCTTGGAGCTGTCTGCGGGTCCCAGGTGCCCAGCACTGGCTCCGGCCAGCAAGAAGGAGGGTCGAGGTTCGAGGTGCTGGATTCGGGAAGGCGATTTGCTTCTGCTAGCCTCTGAAGGCCGTTTTTGGGCCCTGGGACCCTAGCGCCGTCGGAAACGGACCTGGGGTGAGAAACTGCACCAGGTGGACCTTGGGAGGGGTGCGGGGACCGATTTGGGGCTGATTTGGCCTCATCCCTCCCTCTTGATTCTTGACCGATTTCTGGGGTCCCAACCAGTCCAGACCCCACCAGGTGAAGCAGCGCTGGTGCCACACGTGCAGGGTGTACCGCCCGCTGCGGTCCAAGCTCGAAGAGGGAAGATCGGCATAAAACCACAAGCTTTCGGAGGTCCGCGCGGATTTCTTGGATCGGCGCTGGGCCCCCAGGGTGGGGCCTCCAGCGCCGCTCCTGGCGCGCGCCTGGGATGGGGTCCAGTGCCGATCCAAGAAATCCGTGCAGACCTCCGACAGTTCATGTTTATGCGGTTGTTTCTTCTTCCGCGAGCACTGCTCATACTGCGACCGATGCGTCTTCCGGTTCGACCACCACTGCACTTGGCTAGGCGACCAGGAGGGCCAGAAAGCTCGCACGAGCCGAAGTTGCAGGACGACCGCGGGCGGCTTTTCCGCTGGCGGCGAATCCCCAACCCGCCAAGGGCGAACGTAGCAGGGGTCAGCGCTAACGTTGGAAGAATGTTAAGCGACACCACCACCACCAGGATTCGGTGGCAAATCATGGGAGCCCGGTATACCGTCTTTAGCGTCGATTAGTGTCGACGATTAGCGTTTGGAGTCGGTGAGATAGCACCGACTTAGCGTCGATTGAGCGTCAATTCAGCGTCGACTAGCGTCGATTCGCAAGAGCCTACAAGATGGTATGGGAGGCTCCCATGAGTTGCCGCCGAACCAGGAGTGCCACCTCCGGCAAGGAGGTCCACGATGCCTTCCCGAGCGAAGGCTACATGATGCCTCGAGCGCGGAGAGGGACCACCACCACCAGGAGAGGACCCCCCGTGGCTCCTCGTGTCGGTGGCGCTGGTGTCGCTCTTCCCTGGTTCCCACTGCGCGAGTCAGCCAACTCTCTCTGGTTGGCCCAGGTTCGGGAGCCACGCGGGGTCAAACCCCTTCTCTTCGAAGAAGAGAAGCGGCATCAACGATGAAACCTGTGGCGCTCCGCGCGGATTTCTTGGATACGAGCTGGGCCCCCCCGCCAGCGCCTCCGGCGCCGCCCCTCTCGCGCTCCGCGCGCCAGGGAGGGGGGTCTAACGCAGATCCAAGAAATCCGCGCGGAGCGCCACAAGTTTATGTCCGTGCCGTTTTTTCTTCTTCTATTCTCCCTCCGTCGGCCTGGGTCCAGGCAGCTGCTGTGTGGCCAGCCTGGATTCGGGGCATGGCCCTGGCTGTCAGTGCTGACCCAGGTCAGCGCGTCCCCGACCCGTCACCCCTCGACGGCCCTTGCCGAAAATCCCCAGCGCCTTTCGCGCGCCAAGAAATGGCGTCGAGGGAGGCAGGCGCCAGCGGAGAGCGCAAACGGGGGGACTGGGAAGGGGGTCACGACATCTGCTGCATGCAGCTGGCTCGCCCTCGGCGCCAGGCAGTTCTGTACATTCGCGCCTCCGGTGCCAGGAGGTGCTGGGGAAAGCAGGCCGCATGAGCTGATTCGCCAACCCTCCCTCTGCGATTCCCCCCCCGTATTGATCGGACCCAAGAGAGTCCGTCCGCGGCCGTCCCATAGCTTCTTCTTGTTGGGGAATAGCCCTGCTTCGAGTAGGGGATCGACTACAGAATAATTGATTTATCCAGAAACTAGTTTTCTCATCGAACCTACGGAAAATATTGGAAATGCTCAGTAGAAGTTCGAAACTTTCGTATTCGTCGTAGATCCGATGGGAGAATCAAGTCTTGGGTAAATCAATTCTGTAGTCGATCTCCTACTCGAACGTTCCTTTCCCGCAGGCAACTGCGTCGGCCTGGGTAACTACAGGACCTTCCTGTTCCTCATTGTGACTTGCACCCTGTTCTTCGGGCACTCGGCGTGGATCACGTTCAAGGCGAGGGCCCCCGCGCGCCCGTCGCGCGCGCGCGCCAGCCAGCAAGCTGCCTACCCTGAAGGTGGGAGGACTGTATAGTGTAGTGCAAATGCCCTTTGAGCGTAGGCCTAGCATTGTCGAGCCCGGTGGGGCACCTGGGATCTCCCATCCTTGAAGCGGTGGTCGTGAAGGCTCAGCTCACCGGGGGCCACACGGGCAGGACGGCTTGCTACCCTAGTCGGGACGCGCAAGCGTGCTCAACCGCAGGGAGGATCGCCATCCTGGCAGTGACGGGGCGGACCCGCTCCACATCAGGGCAGCATGGGGAGCCTGCTCTACAGCAGACCCGAACGCCACCGGAAGGATGGCAAGGGGCGCAGGTCGGATCGCCACCGTAGGTAGGGGTGACACGGGCGGGCGAATCTCAGGCAGAGGGGTGTCTCCCCCAAGGGCGAAACGGGGCGGACGCCCTTCACTGCCGCATGCTGCCGCCGATGTCGCCGCCGTGGGGTAACAAGAAGCAGCTGTTCCACAGGAGAGCCGATCGCCACCCTGGCGGGGACCAAGGGAATCGGGTCCACAGCTGCGTACTCTTCCACCCAAGGGGTGACGAGCGGGCCTGCTCCAACGCGGGTTCTTCGCCACTCTCGGGGTGACGGTTGGTTGGCTCCCCAGCAGGGTTGATCGTTGGCCTACGGGTGACAGGGGCGAAACCTGCACCACAGCAGGGCGGATCATCGTCACCTTATGAGGTGGCGGTTATGCGGTTTCCCAGCAAGACTGGTTGCCGGCCTGCGGGTAACATAACAAAACGTCCTTTGCGGCAACAGGTCGACGCGTGCTCGTCGGTTTAGCGATGACCGTCGTCCGACCGCCAGTAAAGGACGTCGATCTAGTTCTTTGCGCCCGCAGGGCCATGGTTCCCCGCGCTCGCGAACCTTGACCAGCGCAGGGTGTTATCCAGGTGCCATCCAAGTCGCGGATGCACCGCCCAGCAGGCGGGTGTAGCACAGCGCTTTGGTTCTAGTTTCGGTTACATTCGGGGCGCGTTGGCAATCTGAGCTGTCGCCGCGTTACGCGGTCGCCACCGTTCGGGCCATATTAAATATCACCGCAGCCTTGGCGTGTTTATCCGCCTCGGTCTCCCGACGACATCGTTCCACTCGTGGGGGCACGGCGGGATGCGAGGAGGGCGCACTTCGACGGGGTGATGAGGCATGGGGATGGGACGGGCGGGTTCGCCAAGATAAGATCCGCCATATCAGTTTGTTTGGACAACTGCAATTCCAGCATTCGCCGGCACAGGGTTGCAACCATCCGTCGCTCGGGATATCCTTTCCCGCGGTCGAAGGTGCGGTGAACGCGTCACCGTTCAAGGATGAGGGGGGTTCTTTCCACCTGAGCGGCGAATTGCGGGCCGCCCAACAGTACGATCAAGTCTGGCCATCCGCTTATGAGCCGAACGGCAGCGGGTGACCAGTCACGGTCAGGCGATCGCATACACGGGTCAACTTGGGCGTGGATTAGCGAGGGGTCCCGTTTCCATGGGAAATCGCAGATTTCCGCCGCCGAGCAAGCGGTTCCGGCCGCATTTGGGGGAGGGTACTTCCCACGATGCATGGATTTGGCGACCGCGCGCCAAATCCATGGATCGTTAATTCACGCTTGCGCGCCCCCGACACGCGTAACCCCCACGCGCGCCCGGTCACACGTAACCCCTGGGGGCGTTCAGAGGTCGGGGGAGAACGACGAGGCCAACCGCGGGCAGCGCAGCAGCAGGATAGTGTCTGTTTGGGCGCCATGAGCCAGGCGCTAGCGGGCGACCTGTAACGTGTAGCCTTTTGCGCGCCCCCGGGCACATGTATTGAAGAGGGAAAACACATGAACAGAAACTTGTGTCGGCGCTCCGCGCGGATTTCTTGGATCCGCGCTGGGCCCCCCTGGCGGCGCCTCCGGCGCCGCCCCTGGCGCGTTCCACGCGCCAGGGAGAAAAGTCCAGCGCAGTTCCCAGAAATCCGCGCGGAGCACCAACAGTTTAGGTTTATGTGTCTATTTTTTGTTAGTAACGGCGACGGACGTGCTGACTCAGGCATCGGTGGGGAGTTTCAGGGCGGGCCGCAAGGATCTCCGTCCTCACCATCTGCCTCATCCGAGCAAAGCTACACCCACACCTCAATCTGTATTTTTGTTGGTTGATCTCTCTCTCTCTCTCTTTCTCGGACTCTTTCCACCCTCGAGTTGGAGGAGGAAGAGGGCAGGGGGAAGGCGGAGGAGGCGGAGCAGGAGCATGAGGACGGAGGAGGCGGAGGAGGTGGAGCAGCAGCAAATGCAGGATGAGGAGGGCGGAGGAGGAGGGGGGGCAGGATGATGGCGACAGAAAGGTCGCCCGCGCCGCCAGCGCCGACGACGACGACACCGACGCCGACAACGACAGGCAGCCGCGGCAGCGGTCCGCGTCCCCTCGCAGAGGT